GCTTTACAGTGGTCCTGGTTTGTTGATGTGCCCCTTCCATATTAAATAAACAATCAAAAGCACCCTTAAAGTGGTAGTGGCTGGTACTGGCAGCCAGTAGACGTTAAATATTTTATACTATTCAATCTCCTTCCCTGTTTATTTAACAGTGGAACAGAATGAAAAGCTGCAGATTAAAACACCCTGAGTTCTCATGGATTTACACCTTTCTTGTGAATATCTGCTTCTGGCTTTTGCTTCAGACCAGAGCAGTCAGTAAGTGTCTTGGGATACCCGTTGAAATCCCGGTTTAAGAGGCCTAATCAAAGTAAAGGTAAATACACAGATGTTGGGGCTCCTGTGTTTGGGCTGAAGCTCATACTGGGAGCTCCAGAGCTTTTAAACCAGCTCTGGGAGGCCAGGGTGGATTCCCGCTGAGAGAGGAGTGCATAATAAGCCTTATTTCTGCGTGTTGCCCCCCTCAGAGGCCCAAGTCATCTGACATCGGGCTGTCTGAATAACCTTTCTGAGAATCCGTGCCTGTGTCACTTACCCGATGATGTCATTACTTCCAGAAAATGTGGGCTTGTTCCTTTATCTTTCTCTGGGTTAAGAACGTGGGGGCTGGGTTTGGCTGCGGGGAGTTTGGGATTAACTGATTTTAATCTCAGAATCTTCTTTCAGAAAGCAGGGTGATATTGGCTTATTGGGTGATATCACTGTGAGGAAAGAGCAGCAGCAATGGTGGAGGGATGGTGTAGGAGGAATGGGCATTATGACAATATTTTAGAGTTAGGAATGCACCAATCATGCATTTTTATGACCGATATATACAACATATACAACTTATACAAATGTGTGTATCTTTTGTGAGAGACGTCCTTAGTGTCATCATTTGTGGCATGTAAATTTTCAAAACTTTCAGAAATTCATTTCCTAAGGTAAAAAAAACTTGAATGAACGCTTTATGAAAACTATGAAATGAGCAATCAGTCGCGAAAGCAGAAGCCCACTATTCCCATAGTTTCATGGTTCTAGCTCAAAAACTGTGACCTGCGGAAACGGTACAAAATTTGTAGAACATTAAAGCGAAGAACAGACAGTTAGCTTAATCAAGCCAGCTTAATTACAAAGACAGCATAATTTGTTCTATTTAATTGGATTTATCAGTCAATATATCAATCAATCAACCTTTATTTTGACTCGGGGAGTGACCTTCATTTGCAGTGTAGCTGAGCAAATTACAAGGGATTGAAGAAGTTGAAATGAGATTGACCAACTAAAACAAATGAAAATCATCAGGATTCATCAATAAAAATAAATAAATAAATAAAAATAACAGCTCAAATGGAAAACAGGCATAAAGTATCAATAAAATATATAATGAAAACCATGAACCATGATGAACCAACTTAAGATAGTAAGCAATAAGAAAACTAAAAGTTGATCAAATTATTTACTAGAACAGTAAAAGAATTAACATCAAATTAATCAGTTGCAATAAAATAATAACATAAAAAAATAATGCTAATAATAATAATAATAATAATAATAATAAATAAACAAATAAATAAAAAGGAAAGGCTAAACTCAACTAAAACAGTTACAGGCTGTCTGCAGGCTAGAGACTATGACTTAGTGACGCCAGCTGAATTTCAGAGACTCCTTTAATGAATTCAGTATCCAGTTCAGTAAAAACTCTCAGAGTGGGTCTGATAATTATTGTTATATATAGAGATCATCGATGAGATATAAGCTGGCTGCGTGTGAAATGAGAAATAAAAATCATTGTGCTCGTAATTTGAAAGTATTTTTTGTATTACTACTGGAGTTTTTCTCTGTTTTGACTCCAGAAAAAAACGAAATATCATGAAGTATTTAGTGCAGCGTGAAAATATCTTGAGATACCGTGATGTTATTTGCTATATCGCCCACTTGGAGCTTCAAGAGTCTGTTTTAATTGTCACTATTACTGTCTGGTCTTACCATCAAAGATGAGGCAATAGCGCTGAGGCCTTTGCGTGAGTCAGAAATACTGAGCTGAGTGAAAAGAGTTCATGATTCCCTCTGAATATTTCAGCAACCGCGGTTGATTTTAATTGTGCGTCATGGTGGTTAGATGGATGCATGAGCCTGTTGACTCTCAGCCGTTTCTCTTCATGGGAAGTGAACAGTGCCATTTGGAGCAGCGCTGTCTTGTTGTGTTGGCGGGGTGCTCAGCTGAAATCAGGCCATCGCGCTTTTGTGCTGGAACTACATCGCTGCCATGCTGGGTGTTCTCATTTCGGAGTGGCGCGTGACGACTCCGGGATGGCCTCAGCCACACAGGCACATACACATAACCATACGCATACACATGCTGCCCCAGGAAGGTCTCTTGAGAGGCCACTGTGTGATTCAGCAGGGCAGCAGCACTCTATTATTGTGCTGATGAGGAGTGGACCTTCGTGGAGGCATCGTGTAGAGAATGTGGGGGTGACTTCTGAGCTGGGGGGGCAGATAGAGGCATCTGATTGGATGAACTCTGCATGATGTCACCTTTTGTTGCCCCACTGCAGGGGTGACGTGTTGCTTTAGGAGCACTGGTGTGTGAACCGTAGCCACAGGCTGTGCGTGCACAGGTTCGCGTTTTCGCACATTAGCCACCTCTTTTGCTCTCAGGCCGGTCATTATCCGAGCATATGATCCTCAGACGGGTTTACCTTTTTCAAAATGTCCTCCACATGTTCTCATCTCAAAATTACACAAAGGCTCCCAGACACTGGGCTTTAGTGCCCTTTCCTGGGGGTTGGTGGCTTGGTGTTGGAATATGTCAAGAGTGCCCCCTGATGGTGAAGTCTTTCATGACAAGCAGTCAAAACATTGTAGTTCTACAACACAGGGGTGCCAGGAGGAATTGCCTTACCCGGCCCTACCTTGTTTACCTGTGACAGAATGTTCTTAATAACCCTCTTTATTGTGTTGTAGATCCATAATTCCAGCTCTGTTATGCAGGAAACTGTGAATATGAATATAAGTGATATGACTGCATATCAACAGAGAGGAACTCTCTGGACTGTCCAGGCCTTCAGAGAAGACCTAACAATTTCTGGGAACTAAAAATGTGTGTCTATTTTTGAGTTCATGTTTTTTTCAGTAGAATCCTGCTTGTATTTAAACTCTACAAGCACTACAGCACAACTATGGAGTTAATTTTGTGCCAAAAGTTTCACATAAAATAATAAAATCCACGAACAAAATATTAAGTATCAAAATGTCCACAATATTTTGCAAATACAAATAATAATAATTTTATACAACAATATATAATAATAATTTTTGTGAAGGATAGAGTTTATATTTGTATCTTATTTTTTTACTTTTAGTATTATATATATTGTCTATATAGTAACAAGTAAACTGTAAAACCCTGTTAAGTAATTAATAAGGTTAATTACCTTGTTTGTTAATTCTCTTCTTGTTACTTCTTTTCTTGAATACCTTGCTGTTCCTTTGCTGCTGTAGCACTGTGAATTTCTCCGTTGTGGGACTAATAAAGAATGATCTTTTCTTATCTTATACTTAATATTTTGCTTGTGGATTTTAAACTTTTTGGCACAGAATTAACTCCATGCACTACTCTTGCCTTATTGTTTTGAAACACAAGGGTTAAATTCTTGAAACAGCCAGAGTGGCAGCCTGATTGGCTAATCAGGAATTGTTTTTCTCTGTGGTGTCTAGGTAGATATAACTGGGCTGGACTTCAGGAGCTGAAGAGAAGTCCTAATGCATTAGATTAACCATCAGCATATTTACAAAGCGACAGAGGAATCAGTCAGTCATATTTTTATTTCCAGTAGGCGAGAACAGTGAGAAATAGGCATTGGCCTTCACCCTGGGCATCTGGAAGTCTCAGCGCTAACAATCTACTAAAATGCCATAGGGATGCTAGCAGAAGTTCACATTATTGTAGAGGTGTGTTTTCTGTCATGTTTTGACCATGTTTTGACCTTTATGGCCCGAATTGAAGGCTTAGCTCTAACAGACACGGTTCGTCACTAAATATAAACATACTGTATCAAAAGATGAGCCAGTCAGCTTGCTGGTTAAGCCGCAAGGAGGAATACCGCGACCCCCAGTTGTGGAGATATGCGTTACGTGGACAGACAGTCCTATAAGGACTTTGACTGTATTCAACTGGCTGAAACTGTTGTTTCTCAATAGTGTTGCATCTTGGCTGTCAAAGCAAAACTGTATAGTGAACTGTTTTTGACTTGTATGAAACAGACACATTATTTAAAGCCCACTAAAATCTCTGTACATGTACTCGTTTATCCAGCTGTAGATCATGAAATTCAGGTCTATGGAAATAATGGAATAATGGAAAATGTCTTGTTTTAATCTTTATTCTACCTTGGCAGAAAGATAGAAGTCCCTTACACACATAGCTAACACTGGACTAAGCTTTTACATTTCAGTGGTCAAGACATGACAACAGAAGAACACGGCATGTTGAACTACTGGTTTGTGAGAGAAAAGTGTCTTAATGAGAGAAAATCTTCATAACCCACAGTTACCTCCAAAAAACTGGGTGACAAAGACGTCTTTCCTGTTTTTACTGTTCTTTTTTTCTGGTATTTTGGAAATAATTTTGAACAAGAAAGAAAGGCTCGTTCCTCTTACAGACTGTGACTGGGCCACACCACTGAAAGTTTACACTGAAGGATCCATTAGAGTGACAGAATGAAAAAGAATAAAAAGAAAAAATGAATCTAAATAAAGTACACAGTCATTGCAGGCCACTATCTCTTTGAGGCCCTTAGAATCATCATAATCTCCTTCCCCTTATGTCTCCCCAGCTAAAGCAGCCTTGCTCTTTACTGTAGGTCTGCAGTCAGAGCCAGCACTGAAAGGCCAGTCTATTGTCTGCAGATGTTTTGGGCAGGTGCAAAGCATGTTCAAGTTAGATAAAGCAGTGCGGAATAAATTCTCACCACAGTAAAGTTTGGTGTAAATGGATGTGTTGTGTTTGTCCGGTGCAGAATCGGCAGCTGCTGAAGGACAGCTTCATGGTGGAGCTGGTGGAGGGAGCGAGGAAGCTGCGACATGTCTTCCTTTTCACTGACCTGCTGCTCTGTGCCAAGCTCAAGAAACAGATCGGAGGGTAAGTTTTAGGACTCTTCAATTTGGGACTGTTGTTAACCTGCTCTCGTCAACTTTTCCTCTTTGATTCCTCTTTCAATCACCCCCTGATGATCGAAAGGGCTGCTTCATTAAGTAAAGTTTGTTGGATGAACCTTCGGAGGTGCAAGGCAACATGAATAGAGGCCTTAATAGTATTAGTTTATAAAATATAAAGTTTCTTAAAGTATTTAAAAAAAAAAGGGTGGGTGGGATGGTCAGCACGATGCTGGCTGTCATTAGATTCAGCCATGAAGTATTGAAACTGATTAGTGCTCTTCTCCAAACGTGTTGAGACCCTTCGCAATGCTTTACAGTGTAAAAATGCAGTGTCAAGTAATCTTACAAATCTCAGAGAATTTTTTATCCCTTTTTTTATCACTGCTTTCCAAATGCTACCCAAGTGCAACCCCAACCGAACTTGGACAGCACATGGCAAGGCTTGGACAGCTTTATATTTTATATATACCAATAATGTATTGTTATGGCTTATTTGAAAGTATGGGTGGAATAAATGATCCATTATCACCATGTTGTGTCTAAAGTCACATTAGTCTGTAAACCGAGACTGGAATCAGTTCAGACATGTGGGCGCAGCACCACGCCAACATCTCTGCTCTCGTTTCTCTCTTATTAGATTCCAAAGTGTATTTTTGTCTGCATATTAGATTATTTCTTCTCATCCTTCCATCTCTCACTCTCTCTCTCTCTCTCTCCCTCTCTCTCTATATCTCTCTCTCTCTCTCTCTCTCCCTCTTTCTCTGTTCTCAGGAAGAGCCAGCAGTACGACTGTAAGTGGTACATCCCCCTGTCAGATCTGACCTTCCAGGCGGCCGAGGAGACCGAGCCCCTCTCCATACCGCAGGTCCCGGACGAAGAGCTGGACGCCATTAAGATCAAGATTTCCTCCCTCAGGAGTGAGGTCCAGAGAGAGAAGGTAGCTTAGAGTGGACGTCTTCGCTCTTAGAAATCATAATTTAGTTATGACTTCTAAGAAAGATGGGGGAAGAAGCCCCCCTCAGACCCATGTCCTTTTAATATTTGTGTGTGAGTTTAGCATGAACTGAATGCTGATACTTAACTTACACATAGTAAGGGGTAATGAATTGGAGACATCAACATCAGGGCAAGATGCCTCCCATACCCTCTTAAATCCAGCATCAATCATCATCTGATTTTTACAGAATGTATCATTTACACAAATCATTTCTCTTCTTTGCAGTCTTCAAAAATGATGTTTACTCTGAAATGCAGCACTAATTATGGTGTTTTAAATTTAAAAACCTAAAAACTTAAACTCCAAACCTTAAGAACCTTACCTAATGTATGCTGTATTGATTACACGTCATTATAAAAAGCTATGAGTAGAGACAAATCACAGTAAAATACAAACATCTACTTTGTAAAATAGAAAACATATAGAAAATGCATTGATTCTCATAATCCAGTGCCAAAATATAACATTCAGTAATGTGAGATTAGATTTGACCCCATCATTTACTCAAAAAAGAAAATAAGGAGGGGGGGGGTGTTACCCTGTAATTGTAGTACATTTTTATAATTATTATTATGTGGTACAGTCATAAATCCATGATCACACCTTTTGTCATTTCCACTGCCACCTGAACTGTATCGTACCTAGTTACCTGTACTGAATTTGCACATCTACTGCCCATCAAACTGGACAGTTTTAATGCAAATGCTAATGTTTTGACTCAAATAACGTTATGTTCTCTCTCACTTTAAGGTTGTGATTGGCTGAAACATAAAAAAATGTAATTTGTGACTCTATCATGGGTCATTCTGTGCAGCTGCATAGAGCACTGTCTCTTAGCAGTCAGTATGGAGCTACTGCTAGAAATGAAAAGCCTTTAGCTTCTCTGCTTTTACTCCCCCTCAGAGAGCCAACAAAGGGTCAAAAGTCATTGAGAGATTGCGGAAAAAGCTGTCTGAACAGGAATCCCTACTGCTGCTGACCTCCCCCAACATGGCTCTCCGAGTGCACAACAGGAATGGCAAGGTGAGTTATAGCAACATCACAAGAAAACCTATTTTAAACTATTACATTTTACACAAATTGAAGGTTGGCAATCATTTGAATGGCCCAGTTGTTGTATATCTCATAAAAATCAGTTCAAGGCAGGTTGATACAAAGCTGTTTTGGCCATAACAATGTAAAAGTCCTTCTTCTCTGTTGAGACACAAAGGTTAATGTGACCTTTGAGTCTTCTGTCATTAATCTTCTCTGTCCCTTTTCCCTCCTTGTTGTTTTTTTCTTCATTTCAGAGCTACACGTTCCTGATCTCGTCCGACTACGAGCGTGCCGAGTGGAAGGACATGATACGGGAACAGCAGAAGAAATGTAGGTGGCCATGCCTGCGGCTAGTATACCAACCTAACTCCCTCTTGATGATCCTCAAGCCCCATGATCCCCAAGCCTTTGGAAATAATGTTTGAAAGTGGAACCACAATGAGAACATCACACCAACAGTGAAACATGGTGGTGGTAGTATTCACAAGGAAGGGGACCCTGCCTAATAATCGAACCATTAATCTGTGCTCAATTTCCATTCACCACAAATTAACGGTGTACTTATTAGACAGGGCTTCCTTCCTTACTACCTCTACCATGCCTGCAGCTAGTATACCAACCGAACTCCTTGTTGATGATTCCCAAGCCCCATGATCCCCAGGCCTTTGGGAATAGTGTTTGAAAGTGGAACTTTTTTTCCCACAATAAGAACATCATACCAACAGTGAAACATGGTGGTGGTAGTATTCACAAGGAAGAAGACCCTGTCTAATAAGCACACCATTAATCTGTGCTCAATTTCCATGCACCTCTAAAGTTGTGACTGCATTGTTTCCTTCTGCCAGGCTTTAAGACCTTCTCTCTGACCTCCATGGAGCTACAGATGCTCACCAACTCCTGCGTGAAACTCCAAACTGTCCACCACATCCCTCTCACCATCAACAAAGAAGGTAAGGAAGGTGGTCCAGCATCTTCCTGAGGCCTTTCTTATTGGATTAAATAGATCAGTGGTGCAAATCTGAATAGAAGGTGGTATGTGCTACCCAAAGCTCCTTAAAAGTAAACCTTAAAACCCTCAAAATACCCTTTAATTTGACCTGGAGATGTTTATTGTAGCACTCATGAATCACCCCCATACTAGTTAAACTGCTTTACTTTTCAGTTATTAATTCTAAGACTTTCCTTTCAGTAATTGCTATTAATTATTCAGTAGCTCATATGAAGCTAATGTATAAGTATGTTGTTACGAGAATGAGAAACTGATCCACATATGAAGCCTTAGGTCCTTTTTTGTGGACATGGATTAAGCCTAGTCCAGGATTAAACTGTAACGTCAGTGGTGATTGAAAAGCCTCAATCAGTGTTCGGGAAACCGGTCCTTAGAGTTTAACCCCTTAAAATCCCAGGCTTATTACATCCCAAGGCGTATTATACAGTAACTACATGGGCTACAATACAATCTGGTAATTCTTAGGTTGTAAAGCGTGTAGTAAAAGTTTGGACCAGCAGCGAGTCATGGCCGTTTAAGGAATGGAGACGGTTGATAAAAATGAAAGTTAGTAAAAGTGAGAATGTCTTTGCTCCTACAGAGGATGAATCTCCTGGACTGCACGGTTTCCTGAATGTAATCATCCATTCTGCCTCCGGACTCAAGCAGAGCTTAAGTGAGTCTCTCTATTTGGCTGAATCACTGTCTGTCTGACTGTCTGTCTGTTATCTCTCCATCTCTGTCTCTGTCTCTTTTTTCTCTGGATTTGCTTTCTCTCAGTCTCACTCACTGCTAGCTTGCTTGCTCAGTCGCTCAGTTGCTCTTGCTCACTCACTGGCTCACTTGTGTCTGTGTTGCAGTTTGTTAAGTGCTAGAATATCTATATCTATATTAAGAGCATAGCGACGACTCATTCAGGTAATCATAAAAAACCCAGATGTACTTCTACATCTACGTCTGCTTCAAATAAGGTCAGCATCCATTATTCCACCTTTAGAAACAGACTCGGCGAAAAAGGTGTCCATGGGAGAGTTGCAAGGTGAAAACCCACGGCTGACCTAAAGAAAAATAAAGACTCATCTCAAATCTCAAAAAAACACCTCGATGATCTCCAAGCCTTTGGGAATAATGTTGGATCTTTTTCCAGAAAAAGGCATCAACCCAACAATAAAAACATGGTGATGGTAGTGTGATGGTGTGGGGATGCTTTGCTGCTTCAGGGCCTGGGCCACTTGCCATGTTGGACAGAACCATGAATTCTCTTCTGAACAAGGAAATATAATGTCCAGTCATCAGTCTATGATCTGAAACACAAGTTCAATTGGGTTCCACAGCAAGACAACAGCCTGAAGCACAAGAGCAAGTGCAGCTCTGAGTGGCTCAAAAGAAACAAAATGAAGGTTTTGAGGTGGCCTAGTCATTGAGATGCCGTGGCAGGACCTTAAACGGGCAGTTCATGTTCAAAAGTCCTCCATTGTGGCTGAATTAAAGCAGTTCTGCAAAGTACAGTGGGCCAGAATTCCTCCCCAGTGATGTGAAAGACTGATCTCCTCTTATAGGAAGCGTTTGATTGCAGCTGCTGCTGCTGAGGGCGACACAACCAGTTATTAAGTTTAGGGAGGCAGTTGCTTTTTCACATGACCAATATAGGTGTTGTCAAATGTTTTTCCTTCAATACATGAAATGATCATTTAAAACCTGTAGTTTTGTGTTTCCTTATGTTCTCCTTGAATTATGTTTTGTAGGAGAACCTGAAACCATTTAGTGTGGTAGAAATAGAGGAAATCAGCAAATACGTTTTCACGGCACTGTAGGTCTACAGTTGATAGTGTGACGAAAGTTCTATTAAGTGGACCTGCTCTGTTCAGTTCTGTCGTTCTGAGGCTTAACAGACCCTTTTCTCTCTCTTTAGATTTGTATTGCACATTGGAGGTGGACTCGTTTGGCTTCTTTGTGAACAAAGCCAAGACGCGTGTGTACAGGTACACCACAGAACCCAAATGGAATGAGGTAAGAATACTTCTCACTAGGGATGGGCATTTCAGTCAGACTTGATACCAAAAAGTGGTCCCACATAGACCAGTTAAAGGAGAATTCCACCAATTTTTCAAATGTTCTGCATAACATAATGGTTGAGATGAGATGTGAAATGGATTATTGTAGAGAAACTTTCAGACTCTCATTTCTTTACAGCGGTGCTAGAAACTTCAGGTCATGATGTCTACAACATAAATAAAGCCATTTTAAGTACTTTTCAAAATGATAATGACATCTAGTGTCATTTTTAATGAAATCTTATGACACTGAAGTAATGGTATGGTTTTTTATATGTGATGTTGATAATTGTATATTGTGGTAAATATAAGAAAATATGTTTTTTTTAGACACTATATTGCCTTACAATGCCCTGCGTTTACCTCTGTGCCATGAACAGATGAAAAAAGGCCAAAATCTTCAATCTTTTGTCTTGAAACTGTTATAAAACCAACCCTCAGGCATCATGCAGTGTATTTGGAAACTTTTCATCTACTAAGCTTTTTGTGATGTAGCTTTTAGAGGCATTAAGCACTGCAGACGTTGGTTCCCATCACTGCCACTGTGAACAGTTTAAACTCAGCAAGTTTCTGTAGAATGGACCATTTCACGTCAAACCACTCTGAATGGCTCTGTTTACATCTTGGCAATTTAATTAAGCAAAAACCTAGATAGATGGAATTCCCCCTCAAGGCTACAGGCTGCCACGTGCTGGATGCATAACTCACATAGTTAACGCACATAGTCCCAAAAAAGAAAAAGAAAAGCCTCTTAACACCTTTTATTGTACTGTAGTAAAGCCAGACCACAAATTCATAACAGGCGGCATGTGGCTTGAAATTTACACTAAGAAAGGCAGATCTATCAATCTAATGTCTGTACGATAAGCAGATGAATACTGAGTGTCTGTTACCTCAGCTCACTCTAACTCACTAGTCTATTTACATTGTAACATATTTCACCCCAGACCTTTTAGGCTACGTTCACATTACAAGCCTCGTTGCTCAAATCTGTTATTTTGCTGAGATCCGATCTCTCTGACACGATGGTTCACACTCGTTTAGGTAAGTGACTCAAATCTGTCATTGATGTGAACAAAACAATGTCCTGAAATGACCGGCATGCGCACATCTTAATCAGTAGGGTCACGTGAACAAATCACGTGCTTCACGAACGGCAAACCATCGAGCAGAACGAGCTTCGCTGTAAAGATCATTAACTCTGATCAGCTCTCAGCTTCATTATTAGAGTGAGACGAAGACGAAAAGGTGAGACGTGTTGCTTTTCCACTGTTTACAGGCTGCAACGTCTATTCGCGACTGCTGCCATGGTAACGCTGAATGATGGCGCACGCGCAGTGGAAAAAAGCATGAATTCCGATCTGAGTGTTCACATTAAGGTCACATGGCCACGAATTGGATACGTATCCGATCTGGGAACACATATGAAAGTGGCTTAGCTCGGATTTGAAAAGATCAGATTTGTGTGTCCACACAGCTCCGACAGCATCTGAGTCACATTAGGGCAACTAACTGGATTTGTGCCACTTCAAACTGGTAATGTGAACGTAGCCTTAGAGCTGTTTCATTCTTTCTAGTAAACAGACTAGAAACTTTGACCAAAACAGAAGACACGGGCTCTTCTCTGTCCTCTGGTGGAGCATAGATCGCAGACATCTTATGGTTCTTAAATATGCGAATGTATAACATTAGAGAGAAGCTAAATCGGTCAACAGAAGTTCTTTCTTTTTTTTTAAACTTTCCTGATTATTTAAAAAAATTTAAATTCTCTTTCTTAGCCTCGTGGTAGGGAGACAGAAATCTTCCTGGAAAAGCACACCAAGTGCTTTTATCCACAATTTAGAGTCTTCTAAGGGAAACCACCTGCCATGTTTGTGCCATCTGGACATGTGACATAACAGAGTAATAAACTGCATTTGCCCTCTAATAACAAAGGGGCCGCTAACAGAGGAATGAAAGATACCAGATGTTTTGCTTAGATGTATAGTCCTTTCATGTCATTAGTAGCACTGCTTGAGGTTGTAATGAGACCCTAAAATGCCGCTCTGAGCGCAAATGTTTTATTCCCTTCTGTGTGCAAAGCAAATAACTACAGTCAGCAAGTTTTTGTTCTTTTTTTTTTGTCAGCCCAGGACGGGTTAATTGCTTTGTTCAGCAAACACCTGGTGGAAAGAGTTTCGAAAAACATTGCCATCTGAAATAATGTTGTTTAGGCAGAGCTGTATGTTTATATTCACAAGTGCAATATGGGTAATGTATATTTTCCCCTCATTTGCAACAGGAATTTGAGATTGAGCTGGAGGGATCTCAGACTCTGAGGCTGCTTTGCTACGAGAAGAGCTACAATAAAACCAAGACGAACAAAGAGGATGTGGAGAGCACGGACCGCATTATTGGCAAAGGACAGATTCCGGTATGTTATCTTGGCCCACAGTCCTCATTTTTTTATCCTTTGGTTTAGGTCCAGTTAAGTCCTATTAATTTCCTACTACTAGAAATACACTGTATGGCCAAAAGTGAGTAGACAGTCCACTTAATTATTGAGTTCAGGTGTTGTGATCACGCAGACTCACAGAGTGGGGTCGCCGCGTGCTGAAGTGCTTAGAGTATAAACATCACCTATTATATTACTAACTACTGAGTTCTGAAAGCAACATCAGCAAAATAACATCATTAGGAGCATCAGGAGCCTCATGAAATGGGTTCCAAGCCTCAGATTGCCATGTGCGATGCCAAGCGTCAGCTGGAGTGGTGTACAGTACTCTACCACTGGACTCTGGAGCGATGGAAACGTTTTCTCGAATCACGTTTCGCTATGTGGCAGTCTGATTGATGAATCTGGGTTTGGTGGATGCCATGAAAACACTACCTGCTGGAATGCAACAATAAAGTTTGGTGGAGGAGGGATAATGGTCTGGGGCTGTTTGGGCCCCTAAGTTCCAGCTCTAAGCTCTGACCTCAACCCCACTGAGCACCTTTGGGATGAACTGGAACGTTGATTGCGAGCCAGGCCTTCTCGTCCAACATCATTGCCTGGCCTCACAAATGCTCTTTTGACTGAATGAGCATGAATTCCCACAGATACACTCCAAAATCTTGTCTTCTCAGAAGAGTGGAGGCTGTTTTAGCTGTGAAGGGGGGCAAATTCATATTAATGCCCGTGATTTTGGAATAGGATGTCCAAAAAGGTCAAAAAAGTAGGTGGTCAGTTGTCCACATACTTTTGGCCATATAGTGTATGCAATGACGCAGACTGTCATACATCAGTTATTCCATGTATCTGACCTTCCTGATTCAGGTCAAAGGTGTAGGTGATGGAAGATGTTGTCATTATATGGGGTCTGCACTTTCACTTCCAGACCTTTTCCAGACCAGGGGCTTTCGGTAATAAGTTTTCTGTGTGTCCTGGGTTTTATTGAATGGAATCATCCATAATTCATGTGTCCTGTTTGAAAATGTCACAGTGTGAAAACTGACCTCATAATCAGCCTCAACAGTCTCATCCCAGGGGTTTATGGGTTCTGCTCTCAGCCGTGCTGTGACTTCACCCTGGGTGCGGAATGGGCCTCACTCTCACAAGCACTTTGCCTGTAAAGTCTGCCTGTGGGAGGGTACAGACACGGTTAGTGTTTCAGCGTTGGTGGAGGTAGTGCTTTGATCCCTCGGCACTCCTTAACGGTGTCTTGTTTTCCACAGTGTCCCTCTGGTCACCCTTTCCCTTCCCCACAGTTAGCCGCAATTCCAGAAAGCCTCTTTTTTTCCAGACGAGCACAAAAAGTACCTTATCTTTTGATCCAAGAGTTGGCCGTTATTAACCCTTATGTTACTCCCTGAAAAAGGTTTTGCTAACAGAAAATATAAAAGCAAGTCTCTTCTAAAGTGGATCAAATGTTATGATAAAGTTTATAAGTTTTAAGACTTTTTTTATTTTATTTGGGCTTACTGTTTCTCACTTTACTGCTGTTTGCACTGGTAAGATTTCCTAAATGCTTAACGTAATGTTGCTGTCTGAACAAAACCATAAAGATAACATTACAGGAGTAGGAAAACCCTCTTAACTTTTAATGGAGAAATGATTTAATCCAAGTCATTCTGGACCATTTCTATCACTCCATTCATCATGTAATGTTGACAAAAAGTAAAAATGCAAAGCTGGCAATTTCAGATTATGTCAAAAAGTGAAAACCCAAACAAAATTGGAGATACAAGGCTTTGTCCCAAGAGAAGCGATATGAAGCTGCATTTTCATTACAAGCTTTCACATTCTTATCTTTCTCTGTTCTCTGGAGTGGATGGAGTACCTTTGGGATGAGTTGGAGTGATCCAGAACTGATCATCCAGCATCAGTACTTGACCTCACTAATGCTCTTGTGGCTGAATGCAATCAAATCCTGTTCCAATGTCTAGTGCCAAGCCTTCTCAGAGGAGTAGAGGCTGTTACTGCAGCAGAGGGGGACAAACTCCCTGTTAATAGCCTTCATTTCAGAAGAAACAATGGATGAGAAGGAGTCTATACGCCTTTAAATATACAGAGTATTTTGTCATCAAATTAGCCAAATTACCCACACAGTTATAATGACCACAGCGTATGTGGCCCATTATTTATTTGTTTCCCATATTAAAATTCCTTGCCTTACAGATAATCGTTATTTTTGCAGTTAACTCTCTAAACGGCCAGGGACCACCGGTGGGCCCAAAGTTTTATTACACACTTCTACAGGGAGATTCATGGAAAAAAGGCGCCAAATATTCTGTAATAACTCTTGCTCAGACGAAGCAATCTGAACGAAACAGCGTGCAATGTGCTCCTCAGTATATGGAGCTTTGAACAAGCCGGGATGCCCCTGCGTCGTTGTGATGAGGTGCTGGACAGCCGTCACAACGTTCAACCTCCCTTTGCAACTTCTGGGTGCATACCTCGTACCCCCTCATGTGTCTGGCAGAAAACCGAGATCACTTCCAGCATCACATGTAATGCAATCGATTACACATACGCCGAGGTATGTAAATACGTATGTATTTTTTTGGTTCTGATTGCTTCATCCTAATGGGAGCTACAACAGAATATTGGGGGCCTCTTTCGAGTGAATCTCCCTGTATACCCTAAGAATAGCTCAGCCAGTTTGCATTGCAGTCCCTTTCGTTATTGAATAGTAGGCCTTATTATGTAATAAGCCTGGGATTTTAAGGGGCTAGAGGGGAATTTTTCCCCTAATGCTCCATTGTAGAGAAACTCAGAGTCAGAATTGTACACAGTGGTGGTGATAAGCCATAAAATGGCTGTATTTGTGTTGTGGAAAATGTGACCCCTGGTTCCTATCACCACCACTGTAAAGAAATCTGAGTCAGTAAGACTCAGACAATAAACTAGTTCACATCAAACCACTCTGAATGACTCTACATCTCAACCATTTGAATATCAGCAGAATTACTCTTTACTTTTTTCATTTCCATCCTTGTTCAATGTTCCTGCCTAGTTTTATGCTTCACTGTTACCCTCTTATGCTTGCGTTTGTTTATCTCTGTAAAGCACCTGGAGCACCATTTTAGTTTATGGAAGGTGCCGAGGTTTCATAATTGGTCATTATTACACAAACACTGTAAGCAGCTCCCTAAAATAACCGCACTGGGCTATGTTTTCTGGCAGTGGCTTGTGGCCGAATCGGGACCTGCTGGGAGGGGCAGAGGGGGATGAGCAGGACTGCTTACACCCAGCAGCAGGTAGAGAGATTAACAGAACTAGCCAGAGAGAGAGAGAGAGAGAGAGAGTGAAACAGGACCATCACGATCAAGATTTCCAAAACAGGTGTTCTGGCTGAAGGAGTCTGACCACCTCCATTCAGAGCAGCAGAGCGTTGGTGATGAAATGTCTGAGGCTTTGGAAGCAGGACACCAGCACATGGCTGACAGTACTAAGGCTGCGCACGGTCACCTGGTTGTAACAGCACCCGGAAGTGTATGATTCTGGAACATTTACAAACAAACACCCGGATAGTGGTGCCAGTCTGGGTGGACTAGCCTTTGAAGGACCAGGGACTGGTATTTAGTGGTTCTCAGTCATGCAGGCTGTCAGGACTTGATGCAGCAGAGAGAAGTCCAGTCCTGTAGGAAGGCTCTCACTGCAGTGGGTGATGGAGGTCAGGGTGGAGATGCGTAAGGGAGTGCTGGAGGGTTTGTCTGAGGTGGGCGAGAGCTGTCCCCACGATGAGGATGTTTGTAGGGTGGTGGAAGAGTGCGTTGGGCTGGAGCCTGAGCCTGAGCCGGCTAGAGGCAGAGGGTCCCGACTGTGGGGGCGCGTCCGTAATGCCCTGCGGAGACGGAAGGTAATTACAGGTGGTGTACGTGTACTAGGGGTGTGAATCTATGACCGCACAACAAGTCAGTTTGATCATGATTCGTAAGATTCAGTTTGTTGACATTATTTTAGTACAATTATCTTTGAAAATATACTGATTATACAGTTGTGACTGGAGGAACTGTTTATAGCAAAGTAGGTAATAAACGCAGCACACTGAATTGTATATTGCTTGAATTGTATATTTTACTTTGTTACATTCTGCATGTTACATATGAACATTGTGTGAGGTTGTAATGCTTAATTCATGTCAGTTTGCTGTACAAGTTAGCTTAAAATTGGCCTGTCAAGTGAAATTTTGGCTAATGTTTAATTGCCATATAAACAGTATGTTTTTTTTTACTGTGAATACAGTGATTTTTTTTTCTTTGTTTTGTTGTATGCAACTTTTGAATTGGCCAGATTGGCTGGTTAGTTCTATTGCTTCAAAGCTGTCAGTACTAGATAGCTCCCATCTGACAACAGGATAACCTTAAATGAATTTTCTTTTATTTTACACTATTTACCTCAACCCGGCTGAAAAAATGCACATTTCATATTCTGTTTGTTGCGACACAAACATAAGATAGTAAAAGCTGAAAAACCCTGGAAAATAACTGTGATTAGCTCAGTTAATTTCATTCAGTCAATTGTTTAAGAATTGTGACAATCCTTGCAGAAATATTGGAGCTCTTCACCTTTTAACCTGCATTTTTCTTGTACTTCATTTAAATGTAGGTTCGTGTGCCTCCGCTCTGTTTATGTTAGTGTATTGGGGATTCGTTTGTGTGTCAGTGGCCCTCACTGGTCAGTCACCTCACATGGCAGTGTATATGTAGATAGGTAATGACCTAATTCTCACCCCTTCTCTCCTGATGAAGTGCGACAGGTCGTAATGATAAAGATGCTCAGATTAGGTTTGGGACTTTGCACGGGACCATATGGGGATTAGATTTGGATGAGAAGACGGCACACGATTAAGTGGGGAAAACATCTCAGGCTACTCCAGATGTCACTATCACTAGGTTTGAGAAGATGTGGACTAGGACTGCTCTAGGGACTACAGTGTAGTGCAGGAATGTTATTGTACGTATGTGGAACGCTGCCTTTGGAAAAAGAACTGTGATTTGCTAAATGCTGATGCCTGATATTGGGACGGGGTGGGGGGATGGATGAGGTGCAGCCCCTTTGTTCACAATAAATCATTCCATGTTGCAGGATAAATATATCCCATATTGCAGGCCCCTGGGGTCTGCAGTGGGTATAAACTGATAGATGTTGGTATTAATGCTTATATGTTTGTCTGTCTGTCCCTCAGCTGGACCCTCAGATGCTTCAGGGTAAAGACTGGCAGAGAACGGTCATTCCCATGAATGGGGTGAGTATTGGTTGGGTTGGTACAGTCTGTAGTGCTGGGCCAGATATTGTTTATACTATTATCTTTTACCCTTTATTAGTCCCACAACGGGGAAATTCACCTCCGCACTTAACCCATCCGTGAAACATCCACATACACACTAGTGAATGCACACACTAGGGGCAAATGAGCACACTTGCCCAGAGCGGTGGGCAGCCTTATCCACAGGGAGCAGTTGGGGGGTTAGGTGCCTCAAACTGGAGACCTTCCGGTCACAAGGCTGATTCCCTAACCTCCAGCCCGCGACTGCCCAACTCTTCCTTCCTTCCTTCCCTCCCTCCCTCCCCTCCTTCCTTCCTTTTTTCCTTCCTTCCCTCCCTCCCTCCCTCCCTCCCTCTCTCCCTCACTCCTTCCTTCCCTCCTTCCCTCCTTCCTTCCCTCTTTCCTTCCTTCCTTTCTTCCTTCCTTCCCTCCTTCTTTCCTTACCTCCCTCCCTTCCTTCCTTCCTTCCTTCCCTTCCTCCCTCCCTCCTTCTCTCCTTCCTTCCTTCCTATCTTTCTTTCTTTCTTTCTTTCTTTCTTTCTTTCTTTCTTTCTTTCTTTCTTTCTTTCTTTCTTTCTCTCACTCAGGCATTCATTCATTCATGCCATGATGTTGACTGACAGGGATATTGATATTCAGTTTTTGTGATATTTTAACTGATATATTTGATAGATATTAAGAGTTCTGGCCATGATATAAATTACAATGCTCATGAAATAAATTACAGTTGTCCCTGTTCCCATGTTTAGTCATGCTGTCTAGTACCCAACAACTACAGTGTCATTTACTATCTGCTTCAGATTGTTTATAAAGTACTGTTTAACATTAAGAAAACATTGTTTAAAATTAAGTACAGTTAAAAAGAAAAACTCTCCCACTTTTTGGAAACGGGATTGACTGGTTCACTTTAAGTTACAGTGCTCTAGTAAAGGTAGTACAGAGTACTCTACAGTACTCTATAAAGAGTCATTTTAAGAGATGACAACAAGTTTGCTCAGTGTCAGGTTTGTAAGACGTTCTTTCAGCATGGATTAGCAGAATTCAGGAAGCATGGCTTTGTTAACTTTATAAACCTTTTAAGGCAGAAAAAAGTGTCTGTTTCTGCTGTTTAATCCACTCCTCACTGTTAATAACGTTATTTATAAATGCTGTTGTTTCATTTATTTGATATGTAAAGATTGTGAACTGACGAAGCCCAAAAATCATCAATTTTTATTTTATTTTTGTTACAAACAACCTTTTAGAGGTAAGTGGTTCAATTCCCTATCCAGTCAGGACTGCCACTGCTTTACCAATAAGAGGCAAGAGTTTGACTGCTGTTACATTTGCAAGTGGCTTCTGACAAAGTTGTCCACTAAACATGCGAATATACAGAAAAGTCCAAGTGTGAACTTTATAAGGTAAAACTGTTTTCTTTATAAAGCATAATTTGTGGTCAAAACTAATTAATCACAGTGAGGAGGCGTCTAGTGATTCCCCCCCCCCTTACTGAGTATGATATTCTACACCTGGCCATTACTACCTTTCTTCCCCAGAAGACTTTTTCCCTGATTTTCTGCCATTAATATGCTGCGAATGAGCAACAGTTCTCCCCACAAGGGTCCACACTGCAGACTTGCCTGACAACACGTTATGACATCTGTGACAGGTTGAAACCCTGAAGCCTGAGTCATTTTCTATTTTAAGCCTGCGCTCAGCACACTGGCTTCTATATCTCATTATAGAACAAGGACCAAGCAAGATGTGATTTAATTCATTTTATTTAATTGCCATATACTGATGGTCTGTCCATCAATGTTGCATTGTTTGTCATGCAGATTGAGGTGAAGCTGTCCATGAAGTTCACCAGCAGGGAATTCAGCTTGAAGAGAATGCCCTCATGTAAACAAGCGGGCGTGTTTGGAGTGAAGATCTCCACAGTGACCAAGTAAGTAAATGCATTCACTTTTTGTTTATTCGGCTACGGTGATGTCTGCATTTAAATCTATTGGAAATCCATCAGTAGTGAGGTTGGAAATTGTGGAGAGGTCAGACGAGTCATCCTTCGCTTGATTCTCCACAAGTGGGCGAGTGCATGTGCAGCGTACACCAGGAAAACACTACAGGCCTGAGTGCTTGACCCCTACAGTGTGGTGGCTCTGTTTTGTTGTAGGGGCCATTTTACTAACATGATTTGGGTCCAGTTGTCCCCTTTAGAGGGAGGGATCACTCAAAATAAATACAAAGTTATTCTGATTGATCTCTATCACTTATCCTATAATGATTTACATCCTGATGGGGTCACTTGAAGAGCATGAAAATGATGTAAATCATATGCTATGGCAACCACAGTCACCAGATTTCAACCCAGTTAAACACAGTACTCTCCACCACCATCACTGAAACATCGTTTGAGGCCGGGGTCGGCAACTCAACTGTTAAGAAGAGCCATTTTGTCCTTTCAACAAAAATCAAACCACCCTGGGAGCCACAACATTTTATGGCCATCTTATCATCTTGGTTGTAAACATGTCTCAGTATGTGTTTATGTACTGGTATAGACTAAAAATATAGTATAAATGAAAACGCAGACTTACTTTGCTCTGCTTTAAGCTTTAGCTCAGCTACAGCTGCTTTTCTCACATCTCCAGCAGGAAACTTTTCCACAAAAGCAGAATAGTTTCTCTCAACATTCGATGTTTTACGAGGCTGAAGTCGCTTCTCATTCGCCAGCTTCTTGTTTGAATTTTCCCGTTCCACCTTAAATGGTGCCTGAGGGAGGGAATTCGAACGAGAAGCGACTTCAGCTTCGCAACTTTTTAGTGTTTGACAGTTTCTCGTTGCAGATTAAACGTATCAGGAAACCAGCTGGAGTGATTGTAAATGCAAATAAGTCCGTTTGTCACCAAATTATCGATGTTCACCTTAAATCTCTGTGCCTTTGCGCTGTCTGTGGTGCTATGGTGACCAGCAGTCTGTGCGCCAGTCTTCAGGATCAAAGGGGGAATTAGCAGTTCTACATTAACTCCAGCATTTAAGATCATTTATTGTTAAACTGTGTTGAACGATCAGCAGAGCTTTATTTTACTGTAAAGGAGGATTATTTTATTTTCACCTACAAATCTAATTCTGCTGTGGAGCCACAGCAGGGCAGGGAAAGAGTCGCATGCAGCCTGTATGTGGGTGGTCAGAAGCTGTAGAGGAGCAGATAGAGATCAGTAGCTTGTTGGGGCCTGTTTGGACACGTTCGCGTTTGTACATGCATTCTTACATGCATTTGTGTGGGGGTGTGTAGGACCAGGTGGCCAGTGCTTAGTGACCCAAGTGAATGTGACAGGCTAATCTGAAAGACAGCAAAGCCCAAGAACAAGAGCCCCTGAGCCCTCTTAATCCTATCACCACTCCCGTGGCTCTACAAACCCACAATAACCCCACAAACAAGGCCAGGACACAATCTCACACTCATAAGGGGCAAGAAGCTCCCAGAGCCACCCCCCCCCCACCCTTTCTGCTACAGCTCACCTGATTAATGAGGGGGTTGATAATTAACTGATAAAAAATAATGAGCTTTATGTGGATAGTATCTTTCATACATGTAATGTAGTGTTTCACAAAGGGTTAAAACATGATTTTCTAAGTGTAAATAAGTTAAAACACCTCTACAGAGAACTTCTGCACATTCAAATGCACTATTACTGTTTACTGAATTTAACATATGGGGAAAAAATTATTAGAAATTAAAGGCACATTTTATATTTTATGTTTTTGTTTTTTTTTCTTTGCAGAAAAATGTCACATTTAAGGGTGTTCTCTGTAGAGGATGTGTTAATAAATAAAAAGTAAAAAATAAATGATAAAGAAATTTAATAAAACATTTTTTGAATTACACATTTTTGTTTGTTTTCTAAGTAAAACTAAGTTGACGTACTTTACGGACAGCACACTTAAATATGACATTTTTCTGCAAAAAAATGTAAAAACAAAATTAAAAACTTTTTAAAGTTTTTTTCATTGTGTATTTTCGCCTATAAAAAAAATGTAATTTCACCAGGGCTGTTCAAACGTTTGTATACGAAACTTTCAATATAATATTAAATAAAAAAAGAAAACAATAAAATAAGAAATTTAATATAATTAAATTATAATTAAATTATAATACTATAATTTAATTTAATAATATAATACTAATAATACTATTAATAGAAAGCAAAATAAACAATAACAAAGATAATATGAGAAATTATTTTTCTAAAGTTAAAAATAAATCAAAAATTATGGAAGCGTAATATAATGCATAATATAATATTAGCAATATAGAAACTCTTCTTCAATATACTTGATATTATCTGATATAATCATCACGAGAAATAATATCATGATATGCTTTTCTGAGAGTATGATGGGCGTGGTCAGTACTTCTAGAACAAATGCATTGTAAAAAAAGACTTAGGCCAATATAGAGCTGCTATATGCAAAAATATCACTGTACTCAGAGTTTCCTCTCTAAATGAGGCACTGATGTTCTGATGGAGCGTTTTATTCATTCCAAATTGTTGCACAAACCTCAGAAAATCTAAATATCATGATACATATTGTGTGTCGTGAAAATGCCTTGCATTTTTATGTATGTTTACAGTGTGATCCAGCCTAACTCTCCTTCACTTGCTCTGGTAGAAGATGTGTTATGTATACTTACTTTTATAAATAACTGGAAAAACAAATGAGATTTGACCAAGACTGAAGCTGACAGTTACAAAACATAAGTAAAGGAGAAACAACAAGACAGCAGAGACAGAAAAGAGAGAGATCGCAAAGGTGAGATGCTAAAAAGGAGGGAAATAAGAGGGAGAACTGCTGTTTTTAGAGAAACTGCCAAATTCTCCATTTCTCCACGCCATTTTTTCAGTCTGTGCTGATTGACACTAATAAAGATCGCCAGTAATGAGCTGCCTAATAGGTTTAAGGGCAGAAGCAATTAAGACTGTACACAACAAAGCACTAATAACACCCACACAATACTCTTAGACAGAGCGCGCTGCAGAGGAAGAACAGCTGATGCTCGAGGCAGCAACTCTGACTATACAGCTGTTCCCTGTATGATGTAACAGCAGCACAACCATACAGTGATATAATTGAATTTAATTGAACTTTGCCCTATAATGCAGTTTCATGTAAAGCTTTATATGGATGTTGATCTGTAGATGCTTGGCAGGTGCTAAACTTGCTACTTGCATGACTTGACCTGTCCCTCCATCTAACCCTAAGCTACAACCAAAAATCTAATCTTAAACCTGGTTCTAAACCCTTTTGAGAATCGATTGAGGTTTGCTTTATTAATAATTCAAGCATCTGTAGATCATTTAAAGAAGACTATTCATATAAAATGGGACCCAGGCGCTGGAATCGAAGCTTAATTTGTGCCGGAATAAGTCTGGTCTGACTCCAGCACCTCCCAGATTGGGTCCAGCACCTATTTAGTGGATCCGACATCTCGTTTCCATATTAAATACATTCATGTAACAATCTGTAGAGATTTATCAAGAAAAATTATAAATATATTCTATAAGCAAATCAGAATATTGCCATATCTCCAAAATGGTAACTTTATAACAGTAGGCAGAGTCATTTTGGAGTGATTTACTGTTGATCCATTTGTCGTGAAAGTTTCACACAATGTAAAGGACAGTTGCCATATTCAAAAGATGTAGACCACCTCCTTGTTTTTACGCTCATTGTCCATTTTATCAGCTCCACTTACTATATAGGGGCACTTTGTAGTTCTACAGTTACAGACTGTAGTCCAACTGTTTCTCTGCATACTTTGTTAGCCCCCTTTTACCCTGTTCTTCAATGGTAAGGACCCCCATGGACCCTCACAGAGCAGGTACTATTTGGGTGGTGAATCATTCTCAGCACTGCAGTAACACTGACGTGGTGGTGGTGTGTTAGTGTGTGTTGTGCTGGTCTGAGTGGATCAGACAGAGCAGTGCTGCTGGAGTTTTTACACACCTCAGTGTCACTGCTGGACTGAGAATAGTCCACCAACCAAAAATATCCAGCCAACAGCGTCCTGTGGGCAGCGTCCTGTGACCACTGATGAAGGACTAGAGGATGACCAACACAAACTGTGCAGCAGCAGATGAGCTATCGTCTCTGACTTTACATCTACAAGGTGGACTGACAAGGTAGGAGTGTCTAATAGAGTGGACAGTGAGTGGACACAGTGTTTAAAAACTCCAGCAGCACTGCTGTGTCTGATCCACTCAGACCAGCACAACACACACTAACACACCACCACCACGTCAGTGTTACTGCAGTGCTGAGAATGATCCACCACCCAAATAGTACCTGCTCTGTGAGGGTCCATGGGGGTCCTGACCACTGAAGACAGGGTAAAAGGGGGCTAACAAAGTATGCAGAGAAACAGATGGACTACAGTCTGTAACTGTAGAACTACAATTACAATTACAATTACAATAATTCTCAAAAAAGCTCTGTGACGCTGAGCTAAAGCTCTGGTTTCTGGCATTGATTAATAATACTGACTTGTGATGTTATATACTTAAGAGCTTTATTAACCCCTTAAGAAGCCATGAGTCCTGAGCCCGAAGTCTTATTACACACTTCTATAACCTAAGAATAGCTCCATTAATTTGCATTGAAGTTCCTGTAATTACTGAATAATAAGCTTTAGTATGAAATAAACCTGGAATGTTAAGGTGTCAATCAATGCCAGTCTTTAGATCCAGCACTAAGGGGCGATCCATCATCACCCAGTGTTCCTGGACCAATTAATTTACAAATGAAGCCCTAGTTGGACTGACTTGCTCAGTGCTGATGTAGACGACTGGCGCTTTCACCAGTTCATGTTGTGAACTGAATTTTTTGTTTTTTGTTCAGACGCGAGCGCTCGAAGGTGCCCTACATCGTCAGGCAGTGTCTGGAGGAGATCGAGAGGAGAGGAATGGAGGAGGTCGGCATCTACCGCGTCTCTGGAGTGGCTACGGACATCCAGGCCCTCAAAAACGCCTTCGACACCAGTGAGTTATTATGCAATGTTTTACCTTTTACCTTGTTGCTTCTGTTATTTCGCTATACTGTTTAGTCAAGTCACTTTTTTTACTCAGCACATTTCAGAGACAGCAAGTGTCGGCTAAAGTGAAAATAAAGTCAGATTCATTCACGGCCGTGAGACTGCAGCTTGAGACTTAGCAGCTAAGCATGAACATTGATATGCAAAAGTTAACACAGCCTCTACAGAGAACACAGTTAAATATAAATATAATATGAAATATTTCTACACATTGTAGTGCACAATTTCTACTGATTTAGTTTAACATATTGGAAAAAATAAAAGATAAAATATGAAATGAGCCATAACTTTTGCACCACTCTTTTCCAATATGTTAAATTTAGCAAATAAACAGTAAGAAGTGTGTTTTCTGTAGAGGATTCAGTCTTTAATTTTCACTCAGAAAATAAATAACATGTAATTTGACCAGGGGTGCCTGAAATTTTGCATACCTACAAGAGCAAAAGGAATTTAAATAGAAAGAGAACAGAGATTTAGGTTGCTTGGGGCTTTAAATGTAATTACATGATTAATCACATAATTACATAAGGAATTCTGCTTATATTTGATTTGTATTGTGTATAGACATGTTCGGGTCTGCACCCACGACCTCTAATGTCAAGAAATAACGTCAAAAATGTAAAGGATGTTTTTTCTTCGTAACAAGACTGTACACACAACAATAGCTTTTCATCAAATTCAAATCATAATGAAATGTCTGCTTACAAACACAAAAGGTGCAGTGTGTAAGATTTAGTGGCATCTAGTGGTGGAATTGCAGATTGCAACCAACTGAATACCTTTAACTCACCCCTCCCTTCCCCAGCATGTAGTAGATCCTACAGTGGCCGTCAGGTTTTCACCGTCCTTTGCTTTTTCTTGCACTAAATAATGCGTATGATCCTCCATTGGTCAAAATTTGGGTTCTCAAAATTCTCATAAAACAAACTGGTTAGTCAGCAATCAAAAAACCTGCAGCAACCACTGATTCTTCTTCTTTCTAAGTGGTGTTACAGCGCTACCAAATTCAAGATGTCGCTTCAATGTAAAAATGAAAAAGGCGCCCTCTAGAGTCAGTGTTTGGTTTGTCCATTTAGGCTATTGTAGAAACATGGCAGCGTATCATCGCAGTCTCTATTGAAAGAGAACCCGCTCCCTAGGTGGATATGAGGGGCTCATTCTAGGCTGAGGAGAACCCAATGATTCATAATTACAGGTGATTATACACTAATGAAAACATGAATTTATTCCAAAAAAGTTGGGACGGTTTCAAGATTTGATATGTTGTCTTAGTACTATTTTCAATTAAGTATAGGGTTTAAATTATTTGCACATCATTGCATTTTGTTTTTATTTACATTTTGCACAGCATCCCCTCTTGTTTTGGAAATGGGGTTGTATATTATATTCCATTCCTGCTAACAGAGTCCCCTAATTCTTACACACTGCACCTTTAAACCAAGCTTGTGAAAAGGCTCTGGAAGACAGAGCCTACTGTGTTTTTACTGAAAGGCATTAAATACCTGTTCTTTTTTCCTTCTCTTTGTTCAGTGCTGAGTATTCACACCAGAACACTAATTATCAGGAGTCTTTCAAAGTCGTACTTAATGCTTCTGTTGCTCTTTATTCCCCTTTAGGCTCTGTGGTTTGGCCGTACAGAATGGTGGTACATGTTATGGTTTGATATGAGAATAACCTGAACATGAAGTGCTGTTCTTAACCAGCATTGTCTTCTACTCTAACTTGAATGTCCTCTACTTGAACGTCCATCGTAATGCAGTGTGTGTGATGTAGCGTTTGCTGCGCTTTTAAAGTGTGAGCATCAAATATGCTGAGTGTAGAGTTTATTGAAAACAGAATGTTTCATTGAAAGTGGCAGAAATGAAGAGAACTGACTGGCTGATTCCCTTCCTGTACTGTAATTAGATCTCTCTCTCTCTCTCTCTCTCTCTCTCTCTCTCTCTCTCTCTCCCCCCACCCACAGATAATAAGGATGTGTCGGTAATGATGAGTGAGATGGATGTGAATGCTATCGCCGGGACACTGAAGCTCTACTTCCGCGAGCTTCCGGAGCCTCTGTTCACCGATGAGCTGTATCCTAATTTTACTGGAGGCATCGGTCAGTTGCTGGACTTGCAGACACACTTCACCTACATTACCTACAGACACAAAACAAATGTACTGCGTACATAATCTCCCCAGACCAAAATATATATATATCATATCCACAGTTTCTTGTCTAGTACTTAGGTTAAACATCCAGTTGCATTAAAGGAGAATTCCAAAAATTTTTAAAAAGCCTGAATAATTAAACTATATATAGACAAAAACAATTAGAGTTGTTTGATGTGAAATGGAGAAATTTACTGACTGAGATTTCTTTACAGTGGGGGTTATGGGAAACAGGGGCTATGATATGTACAGTACAAATATGGCTACTTTGTCCAAGACCACCAGTGAACCTTCATGTGTCTTCTGAGCTTTTATATGGAAAGTTTATGATGATAAAATAGTGATGCATTCACGAAATATCGTTTGGGTACTACTTTGCCTCACAGTACCTTACATAGAAGCCCAGCACCCCAACAACTGCAATATTTTATGATAGTCTTGAGATACAATTTTGGCTCAAGGCTCATGGATTGATGGTGGAGTAGTACATGTAGGGTTTGTAAGATGTGGTAAAGCAAATTAGTAACTAAAGGATGCTTATTTTTTCAAAAGTACCGCTATTTTGACATGATCAACATTGCATATAAAAACTAAAGGCACGTGTGGGTTCAGTGGTCATTTTTGGTAGCTAATAAAATGGCAGTATTTGCTTTGTAGACATCTTGACCTGTGGTTCCTGTCACCTCCACTGTAAAGAGAAGTTGCTAAGTTTGTTTACAATGAAACATTTAACATCAATTTGCTCAGAATTATATTTTAACGAATGAGTTATGCAAAAGTTTTGAAAAATCAGTAGAATCCTCCTTTAATGACCATGCCAATCCTGTCAGGTAAGGATTAAACCAGTTTCTGAAGATTGTACATTTTAGTCCACTGTTCTACTAACTTTGTGTTTTGTGTCTGTGTAGAGCACAACATTGACATTCCCACATTCCAGGATGACAACTGTAGGGTGTCTGTATATAACTGATTTAACAGACATGATGGGACACTGGGACAGTTTGACTGACCAGCAAAATCACCAGAACTCAATTCCTAATCTAAATTGGGAAGCAGGTGAAATGCTGGAATGTGCCCACAGTCCATTAAAGAGTGGACTAAAATGGCCAGGAATCTCAGACTGCTTTAATCTTTACCTGACAGCATTGGTGCTGTTATTAAGGCACTGGACACGCAACCAAGTATTAGAAAATAATTAATTTTTTGTCCAGTATACAGTGTAAGCACCTTTTATTTACACACCATGTATTATTGGTACACAGATGGAACAGCAAAGAACCTTTAGTGTCAGCACATTTACACTTAATACCGTTAAATAATGATAAACAACTAAGAAATGTTGTGATGTAGATGTTTTGTTGTAAATGTAATGTCATTTTTTTATTTTGTCAATGTAAAAATCTACTTATTACATTGTAAGAAGTGTTAAACTCACATCTTTTTGGAGTGTCAGAGTGTTTATTCAAACAGCTGTTCATCTCTGTGCAGCCCTTTCAGACAGTGTGGCTAAAGAGAGTTGCATGCTGAACCTGCTGCTGTCTCTACCTGAGCCCAACCTGGTCACTTTCCTCTTCTTACTGGATCACCTGAAGAGGTGAGAACTCTCATGACTCCACTTGCTGTTCACTTCACTTCTTAGGGAAGAAATGTTTGCCATTTTGTCATCAAGCTGACACTGTGCATACATTCTCCAAACAGACTCAGTTTTACAAAATTAGAGCTGGGACTGAAAAAACAAAATTGAAAACTGAAAATTCAGTGATTCTCTCGTGAGGCAGTGAAACTTGTGCTGTTTGTTGAACCAGTGTCTGCGTCTTATTGAACTGGCTAAAAGAAAAATAATAACTATATCACCATTACTGTTCAATGAATTAAGTTCTTTTTAACCTGGGCCTTCATTCCATGTTCTCAGTGTTAAATAAAAAGTGCATCGGACTTCATACTCTCATCTTGCATTTGATGTAGTATGAAAACTTTGTTAAAGTTTTAAAACATAATCACTTACCAGTCCGTTCAATCCATGTATGGCAATTAAGCTACAAATAGAGCCCTTGTTTTCTTGTCATGAGGACAAGAGTATTAAAGCAGTAAGCCACTTGAGGCTGTGTGTTACTGCAGTTTTATCACTGGAAGGGTGTTTTTAGGCACAACGCCAAGAGGAAAGCCTAAAACACCCTTCCCTGTGATGAAATTGCTGTAATGCATGGCCTCAAGTGGCTTATTGCTTTAATAAAACAACAGCCAACATAAAATATGATAAAATACACATTTTTCAGTAAATAATTTAAGTTATGATTAATAATAATTGACATAAACAAGTATTACGCCAAAAAAAGTAGTTCCTTTAGAGTGCGGTTTCGTTGCCAAGCAACCATGGACCACTGAATGAGGAGAAGAACGTTTGGTCACCCAGCGCTGATTATTGCGGTCGTTTCATGAAGTTTTTCAATTTTTTGTCGTATAACAGTGAACATATGATAACACAGCACTGTTCAGTGCAAGAAACTTTCACTTTAGAAGTACTTTTTGGTCACCAAATTATGACCGCAAATCTTATTTAGCACCAGTCCAGCGGCGGCCCTCTTCTCGTGCTGGGGCTCAATCTAAAATGGCTCCCTGCTCCCTACATAGTGCACTACATAGGAATTTAAATACTGGATCCTGCAGCCCAACGGTGTAAGATCTACCTATTCAGTCTACAGTTTACAGTTTACTCTGCCCACTGTCACTGAACTTAAAAGGAGTGTTTCAGTCCAGACTGCTTTTTGAATGAGACCTAGTACAGGGCAGCCAATGAGAACAGACATCGTTTACATATTACATCAGTTTTACATTTACATCAGTTTTACAGGTACAGTAACTAAAAAGTCTGATTAATTCTAAGGTTGGAATGTGAATAGTGATCATTTAAAAATGAATGATGGTACATAAAACCACACAAAAGGGGGAAAAATGAAAATACAGTAAAAATGTAGGATATTGACCCTTTAAACTGTAATTAAACACAAAAAAATGCTTCTGAAAGTGTTTTCCTCGTGTGTCTCCAGGTGTCATTCATTCATGTAAGTAAATAAAGTAATACTAGAACTAGTTTCTGATAATGAATCAGCAAACATGGTGCTTAAAATGGAAATAAAAAAGAGACAAATTCTATTTATTATCATTGATAATTATGGATAAATCAGTGATTTGAAACATTTTGAGTGACTCACTACTTCATCGCTCCTTCACACTCCTTTTCTCTCTGCCTCCCTCGTTCTGTCTTCTCCCCCTCGTTCTCTCAGGGTCGCGGAAAAGGAAGGCGTCAACAAGATGTCTCTTCACAACCTGGCCACCGTGTTTGGGCCGACCCTGCTGCGCCCAGCGGAGAAAGACAGCAAAATTCCTACCAACCCCACGCAGCCCATCACCATGGGCGACAGCTGGTCATTGGAGGTCATGTCACAGGTACTGTCAGAGCTGGACGCGACATTTGGTGACTTTTTTTTAGAGCAGCCTCGCTCGGGCTATACAGAAACGAGGGGAGAGGGTCCACACGGCCTCCCTCTGAGTCACATGTCAGATTAAGCTGTTGTGCAGGGTTGCCAGCTCTCATGGATTTCTTACATGAGTCTCACGCCGTGCAAAGGAATCTCGAGTTAGTGAATCGCCAACAAACAAACTTGCACTGCAGCTGTTTTATGTTCTTTCTGCATGATGCACTGATGAAGGACTAGAGGATGACCAACACAAACTGTGCAGCTGTTTGTGCGTCTCTGACTTTACATCTACAAGGTGGACTGATAAGGTAGGAGTGTCTAACAGAGTGGACAGTGAGTGGACACAGTGTTTAAAAACTCCAGCAGCACTGCTGTGTCTGATCCACTCGCACCAGCACAACACACGCTAACACACCACCACCACATCAGTGTTACTGCAGTGCTGAGAATGATCCACCACCCAAATAGTACCTGCTCTGTGAAGGTCCATGGGGGTCCTGACCACTGAAGAACAGGGTAAAAGGGCGCTAACAAAGTATGCAGAGAAACAGATGGACTACAGTCTGTAACTGTAGAACTACAAAGTGCACCTATATAGTAAGTGGAGCTGATAAAATGGACAATGAGTGTAGAAACAAGGAGGTGGTCAGAATGTTATGCCTGATCGGTGTATGCACTCACTCACATTCTGGACTACATTTATTGTCTAATATTTCTGCTCCTCATGCATTTTTTCTCTCTTTTTGTTTTTATTTTACGCTTTAGGTGCAAGTGTTGTTGTACTTCCTGCAGCTGGAGACCATTCCCACACCAGACAGCAAGAGACAGAGCATCCTCTTTTCCACGGAGGTGTAGACTGGGGGGGGGGTCCAGAAGCCTCTCCGACAACTCTTCACCCACTGCACCCTGGATTGAGGGAAGAGGGAGAACCCTGCTGGACAGTAGCAGGAATGATTGGGCTCTCTCTTTTGTTCTCCTTACCGGTCACTAGAGGGCACTGCCGCCATGGATGACAATACTAACTCTCTCTCCAGTGTATCCTGACGCAGCTTAGTGTTTTTCTGAACGTTAGTCCTCTGCTCTGCCCCTTCGCTCTTCGGTCAGGAACTGCGTAGACTGTGGGCTTAAGGCCAGTGCTGTATCCTCGTATCCCTTATCCCTTACACAAGCCTTCACTCGGTCGTGGACTGCCTCTCTCCGAGTCTACTGCCCCCACACGGCTCGTTTCTTTTTCTTTTATTGTTTTTCCCGTGCTGTGTCTCCGCCACCCCTCCCGCTGCTAGGTGCTTACAGCACTGTGCTGTGTCTCTGCTGCTGCAGTTCTATAGTGCTCCATGGGTCCATGTTGATTTCCAGTGGTGGTCATTGCAGCTAAAGATGAAGGAGGCTTGCTTAAATCCAGCTCTTAGGGCTTTTTCCGGTCATTCAGTTCAAAATAGGACATATATATATAAGTTACAAACCGCATACTTGACTCCATCTGTTGTCAGTGTTGAAGTGGTGACAGCTAAATCATACAAAGCCTCATCCAAGCAATACTGAAGCAGCCGCTGTAAGGATGATGTGACGAGAGCAGCAAACGTCTGGTCACTTTGCAGCTGGTGTGCAATGGTCAGTGGGAACACTTAGCTTCTTAAAGAGTAAAGAGCATTTGCTTACACTGCTCAGATATAGGAAAAGGAACGCTGAAATATTTAGCCATGCTTTCTGAGTCTCTCTGGTTTATTTTTGATTGTAGTGCAGCTGTTCTGATTCGGTTGGTCATGATTTTCGTCCCTCATGGCTCTTATAAGCAATAGTTCACCATGTTTTTTGCGTTCGGTTTCATTTCTGTTCCAGTGGGTGTTTTTTTGTGTCCTGCCAACACGTTTTTGTATTTTAGGGCGTCTTGCATAAACATGTATGTACATAATTTTTTAAAAAGTCTATTTCTTTGGTGATTTCATAATTTTTTTTTTTTAAATAGAATAATTCTCATTGAAATTACTATGATTATTTATTTTTGGGACATTAATAAGGCTGTCTTGTGCATTTATTTGATATTGGCTTCATCCTTCCTAGTCATGAAGTGTCTAGTAACCTGAGACTGGAGCGACCTTTCACCTACTTTCAGTGTTCGGTTTGATGCTAACTATGATAATCTTGTCAGTGTAGCCTAGAGAACAGTGTCCTCTCCCTCAAAGTCCACAAGAGGATCCATCCAGTGAAGGACACAGTGTGCCTTAAAGGGGAATTCTAAGTTTTCAGTTTTAAATTTTAATTTTTAAGTGGTTAAGATTAAGTTGCACACAAAGTGATGCAGTGCTTTGTTGTGAACTGATTCATTTTAGCTAGGCTTACCGTGTAGAGTGGTGGTGATAGGAACCAGACATCTGAAGAGTTTAATGCCTTTAAAAGTTATTAGACAAAATACAGTAGGAATACCTTGCCTGGTGCCTGAGACATTGTTTTACGATAGTTTTGAGAAAACATTTTTTGGAAATCCATAAATGGCAGAAAGGAGCATGCAGAATAATCCCTAAAGAATATTTATTTATTCCAATTTTACCACTATTTGGCCAGTATCAGGATATAAAAACACAGACAGGTGTAGATTCACTGGCTGTATTTGTGTTGTAGACATTGTGACGCCTGGTTCCTATCACCACCACTGTAAAGAAATCAGTCAGTGCATTTCTCCTCAATGAACCGTTTCACATCAAACCTCTCTGAATGACTTTGTTTGCATCTCAACCTCAGACTAGCACCAAAATTTTAAAAAATGGGTGGAATTCCACTTTAAAGCGCTCGCACTGGTTTAAACCTGCATGAAGAAGAGTTTGTAGGACAGCTTTGCTGTAAAACTGTCAATCATTCATGTCTTTTGTGTCCAGCACCTCTCTGCAGACCGCAGCCTCGGCACAGACCTGTGCAGCAGAGTCCATACTGACGTGTAGAAGCCCCGGCAATGTGTTCGTCCTGTTTTCTTCTTTTTTTAGTACTATACTACAGTGCCTCTCTGTCTTTGTGTAAGAAGTTACAGTATGTGTCTAACTCTATATATAGCAGACAGTACGCTTTTCTTAAATGTCGTGTCATGACCAAAAGTGAGGACGGCACTCGTTTTTGCCCCCTGGTTTCCTTCAGGTTGCTTTGAAGAGACACATTACGCAGCAGCCATTTTCTGCTGTGCCAACTAGCGCCCCCTGTCTGTACTCTGTATTCATAGCAGTCAAGTTTTGATCATACAGGTGAAAATCGATGCTCTTAATTTTTTGTTATTTCTAATTAAGGAACTTAATTATGCTTTAGTTACTTTATTTAACATGCAGGCATGTTTATTGATTAAAATATGTTGTTTTGTTTTGATATAAGTTTTGTTTATCTGTTTGATTTCTTGCTACTGCACAGAAGGCCGTGTCATGTTTGCAAGTAGGGACGTGTTGGCTGAGACAGAAGTGACAGGGCTTTGTGTTTTACTGTAAAGTACCTGCCTGGGTACAGTAAAGGTGCATTCACATTGTTGTCTGAATCATCTGTCTCTTGGTTTGTATTATTGTCTTGAGGGACATTTTTGACTGCTGTTCTGTTTCGTTCACTTAATGAAGACCACCTGTCGGTTTTTTACTCCCATCCTACATCCATACGTTCATGTTCTGTTCTGTTATGGGATGATTGGAAAATGTATGGCTGTATACAGAGGTGTACTGTACAAGCAACTGGGGAAATGTACTTCTTTTAAATTGTAAAATGTACAAATCAGCATCAGTGATTCCTGAACGCTAAACAACCACAGCTGAGAGTCTGCATCTCTTTTGAGGCAGTACTGTGCAAAAGTTAGAGGCCATTTCCAGTCAAAACAACCATTGCATGCATTACTCACTTTCAAGGACATATAAGATATGATAATCCACTGAACAAACAGCAGTTCAATAAAAGGTTTGAAAGCTATAGAGAAAATATGACTCCTAACAACCACCTGGAAGACCTGGTCGACACCAAAACTGCCCCCATCAGATAAACAGCACTTAAAGCTTTCATCTTTGAGAGAGAGGAGAAAATCAAGCTGCTTCAGATCTGAAAACATCCACAGGTGTTTCTGTCCATCCTTCCACTGTGAGAAGACGACTCAGCGCTGTGGGTCTGAAAGGATGTGTAGCTGTTCAAGAAGCCTCACTGAGAAAAGGAGACGGACACATCAAACAAAGAAGCTGCTGGTACTGACCACCCCAGAGTCCAGACCTCAACATCACTGAATGGATTTATTGGATCATGAGAAGCAGAAATGCAAAACCAACTTCTAAGACTAAACTTTGGAGATGTGGAAAAACATCCCTGTAGATTTCTTTGAAAGTGAGTCACCTGAAAAGAATGGAAGCTGAAATAAAGGTAAAGAGTGGACACACTTATACTGATAAGGCCGTATATTTAGTCGTTGGGCACTTGTTAAATATCTGTATTCTCCTTTTTTGAAAAATCAATGCCCTTAATGGCCGTTTTGACTGGAAACGTAAAAAACAAAGAGCAGTCTTTGACTTTTTCCCAGTACTGCAGCTCAGGAGGAAGCGTAATTAGATGACGCAGGACCTTACGCGAAATTGTGACTATTTCTTTATTTATTGTGCTGTTAGTTGTTCAATGTTAAATGACTTATAGAAATAGACTCCGATTGAGGAGAAGGATAACAAATAATTTATTTAAGAAAGGATTGTCTGCCCTCCCCCTGTGTTTTTGGGGGAGCCTTGTTGCAGAATTCAAGCTTTTATTTATCAAAGAGCAATGTACACAATCTGATCTAGTGTAGAGTTTGTTGGTTTCAATCCGCTCGTGCTCCTCATTCCCTGGAGTCTGGGAGTAACCTGTGGTTTTGAGCACGTGTTGAAGCCCCAACACAAGCACGGTTTAACAATCAGCAACTTCAGCCCATTAGGATGCCTCTCCTGAGCTGTAGTACAGAACATTTTTATTTGGTTTTGTAATGGTAGAATACTGCATAATATCACAAATAATAATTTCCGCATATCCAGAAAGTTTGCAAGACATTTTGAAGGACTTTATTTCACGGGCAACTGTCAGGTCTCCTAAACGTTTTCCTCATTTGCGTTAAATGCTTGAACTTTGAGGAAGTGTTGGGGTGCGAATGTCTCCTGCATTATTGACCTTGATCTTTCTTGCTGATGTGCTGGTGTTCTGGATATAGAGCTGTAAAAAGGGATACTGCACTCTGAAGACTCAACAGTTTGGAAGGCATTTGCGGCCTCTGTTTGTACACAAATAATAAATAAAACCTCCTTTATCTATGTAATTACCGTCTTACTGTGTCCCAAATCTGTTTAAACGGAGAGCTTGTCTTTTTTTCCATATGGTATTCCTCTCTAACTGCAATGCAGATCAGGCAGTCTCAGTTCCTCTGTATGTCCACATGGGGTCAGAAGTGTCTCAGTTGGGTCAGAGCTGAGCAAAGCAACACATACAGGCAATCAAATGCTTTTCTAAGCAGAAAGAAATATAAATCTGTAAAAGCAAATGTTAGGTTTGCCTGTGAAATGCCACGTGGAGCTTGTTTATTGCTGCTTATTTCCATAAAGCTAATATATTTGAAGGCATCTCAGTGTCAACTGAGACCTTCTGTGACGCTGTGTGACCATTTTAAATAGCAACTCCAGCCATTTTTCAAAAAGTCATCATTTTTAATAATTCAGTTGTTGAAAAGCAAACAAAGTGGTTCAGAGTGGTTTGATTGAAGTTGTTCGTTGTAGAGAAAACATGCCGGATTTCTTTACAGAGGTGGTGATAGGAACCAGGCGTCGCAGTGTCTACAACACAAAGATAGCCGTTTTATTTATTATGCTATCCATTTTGTTTACACTGTTCTACCAGTGAACCTACATGAGTTTTAAATGGTAAAATAGTGGTGAATCTTAATAAAAATACATTTTCTTTAGGGACTATTTTGCCTCGCAGCACCCTACATGTAGCCCTCCACCATGAATGGATTTGACAAAATGTATTTTAAGCCACAGCGTTATGTCAAAACTTCTGTCAAACAACATATCAGCCTTCAGGCAGTGTGTTCTTAACCATTTTGTGTGAGCTAAGTTTTGGAGGCATTGAACTCTTCAGACGGCTGGTTCCTATCACCACCACTGTGAACAATTCTGACTCTGTAAGCTTCTCTAGAACAG